TGAAAACCTATTCTCACGTCCCATGATGGTTTGGAGAGCCATGGTTAACATTGACATTGGCCGTGTGTGTGTGCGTGTTTGTGTTTGCGTGCGGTCTTGTAGCGGTGAGCGCGCTACTCTACACTATGTAAAGCGATGTTTGTTCCTGGGTAGTAAGCGTTATTTCTAATTGCTAATGCCTCAAAAGTACAGAAAATGGCTGTTATTCCCCACAAACTTTGCTTTTGTGGCCAGGACTTTATGTGAAGGAATTACACAAATGCACACCACGTTTTCTCATTGAAAATAAGTACATTTCAAAATATCACTGTGCTGGTCACAAAAGCAAAGTTTGCAGGGAATAATAGCCATTTTCTGTACTTTTGAGGCAATTGGAAAATAACACTTACTTCCCAGAAACATTTTTATAAAATATATAAGTGCTGTTAGCGAGCACCTACAAAAGCAGGCAACGTGGGTGGCTGGCCACCACCACGCCCCGCCACGTTTGTCTCGTTTGTGGCGATATTTACACATCGCACCAGATACTTATTTGAGGCCGAGTCGACCTAGGGGATGTCCAGTACCGGTTCAGACAATCGTCTATTAACTGTGTTTGGTGGCCGTGAGCGGGAATCGAACTCGGGTGGCAAGGTACATATTGCAGGACGTTAAGCGCTGCGCCACCGTTCCCTCACAACAAATGGAAAGCACACACACACACATTGCGCACAGACACACACACACAATACAAACATACACACGCAGACATTGTACACATATACACAGACAATACACACACACAGACAACGCACACACACAGACATTGCCCACAGACACACAGACAACTTACACACACAATACACGCACACACACAGTCATTGTGCACAGACACACAGATCACCCGCACACACACACAGACAACGCACACACACAAAATGGTTGGCTACGTACGGTGTGAAAGAAGTTCAACACACATACAATACTCACAGTCACAAACACTAAATGCGCACAGACGACGCAGCCAGACACACTTGTCCACAGCTCCGTTCGACAGGTGGATGGGTCGTGCCAGTCGTGATTGCCCATCAATGGCACTCGTCCCCTACGCAGTGCCGGATTGTCCCAGTAGCACAAGTAGCTAGCTACACGTGTAGTAGCTACTACTAGCTACTACACGTGTAGTAGCTACACGTGTAGTAGCTACACCTGTAGCTACTACACGTGTAGTAGCTACACGTGTGGTGGCTACGGGCCCCGCACTTTCAAGGGCCCCGCGCTAAATGCTTTCAAGCTATCATTTCCGATTCAGTGATTCCGCACTTGCTCTATTACTATAGTACTATACCGCCTTCAACTTTTATGAACGACTGGGTGTTTAAGGTTAGCGATTTGTCGGATTATCTGGCTGTATAGCAAACGAAAAAAAATACAATTACTTTACTATGCAAGTAAAACATTTGTGTTTTAATATTTACGTGTTTTTTTTAATTTAGGGCCTCTTTACAAGATATACTACAGGCCCCGCACTAGCTTAATCCGGTACTGCCCCTACGGTTCACTCATTGAGCGGAGTGTGCCCCGTGGCGTGACGCGGGCACTGTTTTAGCGCCGGTCCACGTGAATGAGGATATGAATTAGGGATGTTTACCGTCATTTAACGAACTAAACTCAGCGAGCACTGTTCGACTCGACTTGCTGTTTTTGTTCGAAATTAGTTTTACGAATTTGTTTAGGACGTTGCATTTGTTTCATAATGCCCAGGTCAGTGTGTTTTTTTTACGCACGGCCGCCTTTATCACCCTAGTGGCGATGATTATACACCGCACCAGGTACACATTTGAGGCTAAGTCGACCTAGGGGAGGTCCAGGACCGGATCAGATAATCGTCACTGGTGTTGGCCGTGAGCGAGATTCGAACTCTGGTCGCCAGGTTCATAGTTCAGCGCGCTAACCGCTCCCCACACACATCCACTGACACACACACACTGACACACACACACTGACACACACTGACACACACACACACTGACACACACACACACTGACACACACACACGAGCCTATTCAACGCGAAGCTCTGCGTTGTAGCGGCTGGGAGAGTGGTGGCGTGGTTTGTTAGCAGGGTGAGCTGTGAACGGGACCCACCGCTGCAGTTTCATTCGCGCCCGCGGCTATCAAAACATCGCCAGCGAGCAATGTCCGAACCTGTTCGCGAGATCTGAACACTCCCTCGTATTTCAGCCCCAACCAGCACTGAACTGGCGTGGTCAAGCTCGGTCAAACCCCCCTCCGTGTTCCGACACGGTGTGCGAGGGAAGGGGTTGCTTTCATCCAACAGTGGAGTGACAAAAGACGACCTTTTTATTACGTTATTAATCAGGTTAGACTCTGAAGTGCTGTTAGCGAGCACCTATTAAAGCGGGGGGGGGGGGGGGGGTAGCAATCAAATTAACAAGAAGACATTTTTTTTAATTCGGTAATAATAATACAAAAACCCCCCTCGATATTTCAAGAGCCACCGAGGCACCGTGGCGGGTGAAGACGAGACGGTGGTTATTGTTTGTTGTTGTTGTTGGTGTTACAAATGAACGTCACGAAGCAAAAAGCCGCGTGCGGCTCCCGGAGCCGCAGGTTGCAGACCCCCCCCCCCCCCCTTGCATCAAGGGCAGCAGGACGCGACAAAGGGGTCATTTGACTCTCGCGAGCCCCATTCCACTGCGCACGCTCGCCCCGCATCGCCTCGCCACCGCCAATGTTGACAGAGCTCCTATTTAGGGCTGAGTCAACGTAGAGGAGGCCCGCGCCAGAATCGTTTACCAGCTGACAGCGTTACCATCCTCCTACTCCTCCTCCCTTCTTCTTTCGTAAGGATTCGTAGCAGCGGATTAAAGATGTAACTTTAGATGCTGTTCATCGACCCAAATTGCCTGCTATATTAAAGCGGAGTGGATCTCATCCGTTCCACTTCGAAAGCAGTGGAGACAGCGGCTGCCTGCAACGTGGGCCGATCGTTCAGGATCGGTGGCCGCAACTCACGGCTCCGCCGAATCTCTGATGCCCGGTCCCTGATTCGGGTTATTCGCACGCCCCGTGATGGAGCAATCGGCCGCTGCGTTCGTAGCGCGGCGTGCCAACCACTTCGCCACCGCTCCTCGGACATACAACGCAGGGCGCGCGCGCGTGTAGCCAGAGCGGCCCAGTGCAATACAGACAACACACTGACGTGTAAATGATACGGATCGCTGGGGCAAGTGCTGTTAGCGAGCACCTATTAAGGCCAGCGCGGCGTACGAACGGGTGGCGTGGACATCACCACCGCCCCGCCTCGCACTGCCTTTGTCTCGCCGATGCTGACAGTTTACACGACGTATCAAGGTAACACTTTGATGTTCAATCGACCCAAAGGGTAGAGAGGCAGTCGACCGAGAGCACCGCTTCTGATACCGCTTTGCCACTGATGATTAGAGCCGTTGCTGGGAATCGATTCCGAGTTCGCAGTGCGTTGCACTCGCAGCAGATTGACGCCCGCGTGCTTCAGACTCCGCTTACAAATCCACGCCACGCGTCGCACCCGATGAACGCATTATTCGCGAATCAGCGTCCATTGCATTGCGACGAATTTCTGACAACAACAACGACAACAACAAAAAGCAGCGAGTTACGCGGAGCACGATATGTGCGTCGCATCCCTCCCCCCGCAACAATCCGTGGAAATTAGTGAAATTATTATTGGATTTCAGCGCCGTGTTAAGCTTTCGTGCCGGTGGAAATGTTGCAAAGATGCAGACACAGAGGCACACATCCCTCGTTGAGCCTTGCTGCATAGACCCAGGATCGCCAACCTGCGGCTTCGAAGCAGCATGCGGCTTTTTAAGGAACTGCCTCTTGACACGTGGATGTATTAAGGACCGACGTCTCGTGCTCACGACCACGCAGTGCATTGCGGCTCTTGGACTATTGAGCTGGTTTTTTTTTACCGAATATTTTTTTGAAAAATGTCTTGTTGTTGTTGTTGTTGTTTTCTTTGCCGACCTCCCTGGTATCGATAGGAGATCGCCCATTAAGGTCGACATTGAACGCGAGGCTATGGTCTGGCAGCGCTGCGCTTGTATTTGTCTCCCCGTTCTCGATGCTTACCTAGCGAACAAGATACTCGTTTAGTAAAAATTACGACGTTTCGGAGGCAACACAAGTCTCCGTCATCAGGATGACGGAGACTTGTGTTGCCTCCAAAACGTCGTGATTTTTATTATTTTATTTTTATTATTTTTAATTTCATTTTTTACCTACGTGACTTTACCGACAAAACTAAGAGTATGAATCATTGCAGTCACGAAAGCTTTTACAGCAGCGGGTACTGTATTCAGGCCGAGCTGACCTAGAGTGAGGCTCAGGAATCCGTTCTAAACGTCGCAGTGATGCTAGCCGTGGCCCGGGAGTCGAACTCAAGATGATCGTCGTGTTTAGAAGTGTGGCTTGTAGCGCAATGCGCAAACCACTGCGCCACCGCTCATCGCTTTCGTACACTCAGAAACAATGACAAAGATCCCACCCCTATAGCCTTAACAGACTGTTGGGTCAAGTGCCGTTAGCGAGAATCTATGAAAGCCGGCACGGCACACGAGGGAGTGGGTGGCCAGCACCACACCCGACCGCCTTTGTCTCCCTGCTGCCGATGTGTATACACCGCACCAGGTATTCGTTGAATTATGAATCGATCTAACGGTGGCACAGACCCAGTTGAGATATTCGTCACCGAGTTTTGTCCGCGAACGGAAAATCGGACTCGGGTCGTCAGGTTTATCCGTGTCGCGGCGCGCTAACCGCTGCGCCACCGCTCCCCATACTCACTCACATTCGCGCATCCCAAATAACACGGCGAGGGGAGGGGTCACGCGCGCGCGCGCTCCAAGCACTCACACGTGCGCGCGCGCACCCACCCACCCACCCACGCCTCCTCCTCCTCCTCCTGGCTCCGTCTCTATAAATGGGGTTCGCTCGTGGAGTGGACGCAGCGAGCCCAGGACTGGCGCGGGTCAGGTACGGGTTTGGTCCGGTGCGGCGTGGTCTGGTATGGGTCTCCGCTCGCTCGAGCAGCTCCTGGAACCGTCCACTCACAGGCAGGATGATGTTGATGATGTTGATGATGGCAGTGGCGGCGTTAATAGCGTTGTGCAATTGTTTGTTTGTAAGTGATGAGGATGATGCTGACGATGTGGTGTTGTAAGTGTTGCTAGCAGTGCACGGTTCTTTGTTGGCAAGATGACCCATAATCCACGGACTATCGTAGATCCACAATGGTCGAGTTATTTCGTTTTCGTCATTGCGCAGACGACGACCGTAACGATGGTGGCACCGATGGGCAGCGTCAGGGATATTCACCGATGCTTACGGCATAAACAACATCACAATAATGATGAAGCTCTTTGTAACGCGCGCACATTCCGCGGGGGGACGGATGCAATACAATGAATGCTTGCTGCTGACAAATTGTTGTTCGTTGGCGAAGTCGGAAGAGCGAAATTAAGTTGATGGTGATTACGATGGGGTGGGGGTGGGGGGGTTACCGCTAACTCTACCGCGATAATGATGTTGGAGGCGGTTGCGATGACCGCTCTGGTCACTTCAGTGGCGAGGATCGTGATCATTTAGATCAGGGCTCGGCAACCTGCGGCTCTTTAAGGACTGCGTTGTGACGTGGTTCACAAGCATTGGGGCTCTTGAATGATTGGGGGGTCTACATATTTTTTTTACCGATACCCCCCCCCCCCCTAAAAAAATTACTCTTCTTGTTATTTTGGTTACCGACCCTTGATGTAGATGATTAAAGTGGAACGTTTGTCGATAACGTATTGTGTCCTTGACTCAAAACTATCGTAGTTCACCACCACCGTGGTGATATTAACAAAACGACCACAATGAGTGATGATCGTCAACGTTCTGCATTTCGCGCGGATGAACACGAAGGGGGGTCGCTTTCCACTGCCGAGTAAAATCATCTTGAGCCACGTGCCGCAACGATACATCGCGATTTTCATTCCGTGCTAACAAATTAAACCTGGCTCGCAATCTCTCACTCATTCAGTCATCCGTTGCCTTTCCTTCCCTCCGTGTCTTTAACGCATCACGAATGCAAATTGCACCGGACACAATTTAAACAACAACAGCAACAGCAGCCTCCAGCTGTGCACGAGCCAGTTGCTGCACTGGCGCGTCTCCGTTTCTTTGAGCGGCAGTCATCGCGAGATGTCCTCCGATCTCAAACAGCCACTCCCAGCCCTGACCACCTCGGTGACTGTATTTGAGCCGAACATCAACTTGGCGAGAGAACCCGCTGAGATTGGTGATCTCTTTCGATTTAAAGCTTTCGTGACTTGCAGGGATTCATCTTCTTGGTTCTTTCGGTAACGTCACGTAGACGGCTGCTTGCGTTGTGGCCAAAACGTCGTGAGAATTGTATTTTATTATGTTTTATTTTTATTATTTTATTATTTCCCTTCTACGTGACTTTACCGAAAGAACCAAGAAGATTGGTGATCTCGCCATGTTCTCGTTCGCGGCACGCTACTTCTGTTGACGTTTTTTTTTTATCATATGCGCTCCCCCCCTCCTCCTCCCCCCTACCAGCCTGGGAATAAATACATCGCTGCGTAGTAAAGGCGCGAATGTAGGCGAAACGCGTATTTTCATTACGTCTTCGTGTTCAGGCCGCTAACCAATGTCGGTGTTTAGCTATCACACACACACAACGCAAAACAACGATGTCCTTGTTCGGGGATTCCACTGCGCAAAGGAATAGCGCACATGGACTTCGCCGAGCGCACGCGCGCGCGCGCGTTCTGACGCCCTCGCCTTCTCGTTCCAACGCAGCAGAGCGCTATCTTGTTTGTGTTAATGGTTCCGATACGGTGACGCATTATTATTATTGGGTTCTGTACACACAGGTCGCAGGAATCCAATCCGTTAAGGAGAGCCGTGCGTGTTGTTACGGGGATTTGTTGGCCTCACTCGAAAATCGCGCTGGGACGTAGCGTGTCAATCTCGTTAATTTAAATTAAAAAACGCGGGTTTTAAGCAGTCCGCTGCCAGAAAACCATGCCCCGAGAAAAAATCTACCGCAGATCTGTGAATTGCTGTTCGGTGGTGAGGCGTGTGGTGAGTTTTGCAGGGGGCGGTGCGGTGAAGGGGCGGGGTGGGGGTGTAATTATCATAAATTAAAATATTCAAGATATATTCTCGAACGGACGTTTACGTAGCGATAACTATGAGGTCTGCTTGCTTAGAGAAAACGCGTCAATAAGGTTCGAACAGTGGTGTGTCGCCTAAATAGGGCAGTAATGTCGCCTCGTGCAAGCCGCTCCGAGGAGATGTCTCGTGAGCGAGTCGGTGGGGTGGGGGGGAGTCACATCTCGCTATGATCAGCGCCTTTTACGCATTACCGCACGTCCCGTTAGCGGCTCCGTCGATATGAATATCAGAAGCCACGGTGGATTTGATTGATTCGGGATATTAATTGGTGCCGATTGCACTTGTGTGGGCGAGGAACTTGATACCAAACGCGCTCGCTTTACCTTATCTGGTGTTTGATCAATGTGTGACTGCGTGTGTGCGTGTGCGCGTGTGGGTGTGTGCGCGTGATGGGGAGCGGTGGTGTAGTGGTTGGCGCGCTGCGCTACGAAACCTGACGACCCGAGTCCGATTCCCGTTCACTGCCCAAGTCAGCGGCGAATATCTGAACGGGTTCTGTGCCACCGATAGGTCGACTCATAATGAAATTACTACCTGGTATGAACGTCGACATTGGGGAGACAAAGGTGGGCGTGCGTTGTGCTGGCCACCCACCCCCTGCTCGCTAACAGCACTTTCCCCAACTGTTTGTAAAGGCTATACGGGGGGTCTTTGTTTTTTAATGTGTTCGCGTGCAAATATCCTGCGTAAATATTAGCGCCAGTGACTGTTGCTTTGATGGGTTCCCTTTCGCAACTTACGCACGAGCGGCTACACTTGTGCAAGAGTGATGATGTCGCTTGGCTACCGTTTAGACTGATACATTAAATCAGCAGCGCATGTCTGACTGCCTGTGTCTGTCTGTCCGTCTATCGTCTTGGCTGTCGGTCAGTCGGCCCGCATATCTACACGGCTGTCTGTATTGTGTTTGTCTATCTGTCTGGTCCTAAGCGTCTGTCTGTCGAGTGATGCGTCCCGTTCATCTGACGCCTTGCCTGTCCGTGTATCCTGTTTGTCCTCAGCGTCCGTTCATCTCCGCGCTCAACTTTCTGTCCCTCTGCGTGTCTCTGCGTCCGTGTGTTTAATCAGAATCAGGCATCCCCCATCCGTCCGTCCGCCCGCCCGCCCGCTTATTACCCTGCTCTGCAGTCTGCTGAGTTCATCCTTGAAGAAGGCGCAGGAAACGAAATCCCACAAGCGAATCGAGATCGGCGCGCGGGGAGGATCGGAAAGGAGTCCCTGACTCGGCACCAGAGACGCGCCGAGACAGCGAGCAGCAAGTGACCACCTCCGCGAAGTCAAAGCGAACTCCCCTCTCCCCTGCGCGACCCCGGTTCGACCCCTGCCGCTCACCCGTCTCCAGTCCATTGGGGGTGTGGGGGGTGGTGGTACAAGTCACTGGGCGATCATGTGGCGGGGTGCGTTCTCGCTCATGCTGCTGCTGTGTCTGTGCGGCGGCGCGGGCGCCCTGCAGCGACACGCGGCCCCGATGTGTCGCGACGAGTGCGCCGGGTGCCTGCGGCTGCCGCACGCCCGCACCCTCAACCTGAGTGCCCTGGTGAGTCCCGGAGCGCACGCGCGCGCACGCACGCGCACGCACGCGCACACACGCACGCGCACTCGCGCGAGCGTACACACTCGCGCGCACTCACGCGAGCGCACGCACTCGCGCGAGCGTACACACTCGCGCGCACTCACGCACGCGCACGCACTCGCGCGAGCGTACACACTCGCGCGCACTCACGCGCGCGCACTCACGCACGCGCACTCACGCACGCGCAGCTAAGGACAAACAGAGATTCACAAAAACGCAGATTCCCCCCCCCCTCCTCCCCTACACCGCTACCGAAACAGGCCCCGAACAGACTGTTGGAGGGCAGAAAGCGGTGTCTGTTAGCGAGCACCTATGGAGGGGCACGGTGGGGGTAGTGAGGTTGGCCAACATCACTCCGCGGCCGTCTTTGCCTCCCCCGTGCTCCCCTCCCTTACTCCCGTTCCTATGCTGATATTTACTTATTTCAGGCTGAGTAGACCTAGGGGGGAAAACCCGTAACATGTTCGGATATTCGGCATTTATGTTTGTCGTGAGCGGGATTCGCACATAGCGGGTGGCGGGTTTCGTAGCGCAGTGCGCTAAGCACCACGCCACCGCTCCCGCAGTTCACGCGCGTGAGTTACCACGCGCCGGAGAGCAACGCGAACCCCGAACGCGCGTGTCCGCTGTCAATAAAGTTACGCAAAATCTGATGTCAAAGACCCGCAACGACCGGATTATAAGACGCACCGCCCCATCGTTTGCTTTAAAATACAGAGAGCATGCGTCTTATAATCCGGACAACACGGTACCTGTGGGTGTAAGGATTAACACCCCCCCCACACACACACACGAACCGACATTTCAATGCATCGTCGTTATGTTTGTGACATCAGGAGGACCGTAGCGGCCTCTAGTGGCTGCAGGGATCACGTAAACCCTTTAGACACTGCGTATAATAATCAGAAAACCCCCCCATCAATGATTACACACGCGCTTTGATGGATGTATCCAGAGCTTAAGAATCGATGTTAATCGATGATTCGATGCATAGTTAGCTACCACTACCACTCGAAGCTACCACTACCGCGTTCTCAACACAAAGCGCTGCTTTCGATGCAGTGCTTTGGAGGCAACGTTTGATACATCAGTTGAGATTTGTGAAACTCCCGAACCCGCTCGGCTACGAGGCGGATAGTTTGATGATGATGTGAGTTGTAATGGCAGTACAGCATGTGGGTTTCATGAACCCGTCTGTGCGGAGCTGTGCAAATTCATCCCATGATAGGCGTTGTGGTTTCCTCCGAATTACTCCGGATCGCTCCCATGAACGGCATACAGGACAAACATCCCAGTGCAGGACCCTCTTGAACATTATTTTGAGACTCGGTGTTATAAAAACAATGTGACCTCGTGCAATGCAATTTATTTATTGGACCCGGTTGAGTGCCTGCTATGATTAGGCAGCTTTGAGTCTTTTTGTTAAAAGTTGAAATCCAAAATCGCATTTGAATTTTCATCTCTGTCCATCGTCAGTTTTGGGGTTAGTGAAGTACCGTTTTTTTATCACTTCGTATAAAATAAACAGTGATTGTAGATTGTATTTCAGAATTTTGAATGTTTATACTGGTAGGAACCTCCTGGTTACACCAGCCCACAAGGATTATTGTGTCCGTCCGTTCGTCGTGGAGGGAGGGGAGGGGCTGGGTGGGGAGGGTGGGGAGGGGCTGGGTGGGGAGGGTGGAGCTGGGTGGGGGGTGGGAGGGGTGGGGCTGGGTGGGGAGGGACTGGTCACCCCGTGGTGCCCTTATAAAACTCAACGTTTAACCTACTCACGCCCTCACAGTCGGGCATATTTGCGGAATACACCACGCCGCCGTTACCCTGGCCATTGACCGAGCAACCCGACGTTCCTACCAGCTCCCTCCGCAGGAATGTGTTTTAGATTGTCGGAATCCGATGAGCTACGAAGCTCTTCTTCACAGATGTCCAGTGGGGGCGGCTCAGCAAGTCACAACAACAATCAGTGCAAAGACACGTTGGGGAGTGCAGAATAGAGAAAATAATAGTAAGCAAGTCACTTAATGGAAACAAATAAAATGAGAGTATATAAGTCCGATTTTTCAACACTAACTGCAACAAGAACGAGTCTCAGACCACCACACCAAGACAATCGATAGAATCGCACAAACAGCACTGTTAACCGCCATTCACGCCACTTTACAGGCATTATTTGAATACGAGCGCACTGACTTTTTGTCAGAGCGTAACATACAACACGGAGGTGGTGTCATTACGGATCTCAACATCATCTCGCCCCTCCGGAATCACCAAACATCGTGATAGAGTGAGGCGGTCATGCTTCACGAGAGAGCACGATCAAACATCGTGATATCGAGCACGGTCAGGCTACTGAAAGATTACTGTCATACATCGTGATATCGAGTGCGGTCATACACGGTGATAGAGTTCAGTTAAACAACTCCCATGACCGACAACGGCGGAGGTAGGGTGAGATCATCCCTTCCTCGATGAACTGCGCTGCGCTCCAGCGCACAAACCAAGAGACGATCTTTGTCGAGAAGCAGCAGCAGCGGCAGTCGTAGATGATGATGCTGGCTAATCAGGATGTTGGAGATGTTGCCTTATCTCCGATTTATATAAAGCGCATTTATCCAAGGCGCCTTACAGGGTTGCGAGTGGTACAATGAGGGTAGATCAACGTGATACGGTAAATAGGGATGGCGTACGGGGGACGGAGCAGTGCCGGATTAAGCTGGTGCGGGGTCTGTAGCATATGTTATAAAGGGGCCCTAAATAAAAAAAAAAGTAAAATATAAATATTAAAACACAAATGTTTTACTTGCATAGTAAAGTAATTGTATTTTTCATTTGCTATACAGCCAGATACTACGACAAATCGCTAACCTTAAACACCCAGTCGTTCATAAAAGTTGAAGGCAGTATAGTACTGTAGCGATAGAGCAAGTGCAGAATCACTGAACCGGAATTGAGAGCTTGAAAGCGTTTAGCGCGAGGCCCTTGAAAGTGCGGGGCCCGTAGCATGCTACTGTGATAATCCGGCACTGGGACAGAATTCAGTGGGTACGGGAATTGCGGTGGGTGCCTCGGGGTGGAGGGATTGATGGACCAGAGGTGAGCCTTTAGGCAGGATCGGAAACTAGACGGGGAGGGTCCTTGGGTCACGCGACGGGAACGCCGCGTTCCAGTGCAAGCGTGGCTATAGCCACTGCTCTTAGAATGGATGTCGACTGGCACGGTATGGTAGTCGAGACGTGCCGACCACCCTTTTGATAACAACACCAACAAGAACAGGACGACCATCCGCGCGCAGAGGCTAGTGCGCGCTTACCGCCGGCGGCAATTTGCTTAATTGGTAGGTGGCGGCGACCACTCGATATGCTTTGCGCGACACTCCGCCGGCTGCATTATGAACTCGGTTCGGTCCGCGTCTGGCCCGTAAATTACAGCGCTGTGCGCAATCAACGGAAGAGGCGAATGAGGAGGAGGAGAGAGAGAGAGAGAGGTGGGGGGTGATTGCGAATTTAATTTGGCAAGAAATGTTTGGGTGGTGGGCGGGCGGGAGAGAGCGAGAGAGTTTGTGTGTGCGTGTGTGGGGGTGGGAACTCAAAAACATCGCTCTCAATGTAAGTGACATTGAGAGCAGGGCCGCGTGAACGTCACGCGGCGGTCGTCCCCACGCGTATGCAGCTCGCCGGCGAGGACCTCATTGTAATGCCACTCGCGGGGAAGTGGTTTGTGGGTTGTGCTCACTTGCCGGATTGTCCCAGTAGCAAAAGTAGCTACATATGTAGCTACGGGCCCCGCACTTTCAATGGCCCCGCGCTAAATGCTTTCAAGCTAGCAATGCCGGTTCAGTGATTCTGCACTTGCTCTTTCACTATAGTACTATACCGCCTTCAACTGTTATGAACGACTGTGTGTTTTAGGTGAGTGATGTGTCGTATTATCTGGCTGGATAGCTAATGAAAAAATGCAATTACTTTACTATGCAAGTAAAAACAATTGTGTTTTAATATTTGCGTGTTTATTTATTTATTTAGGGCCCCTTTATAACATGTTCTACAGGCCTCGCACTAGCTTAATCCGGCACTGGGTGTGCTGTGGGTTGTGGTGTCGATTATCCGACCCGGTCCTGGGCCTCCCCTAGGTCGACTCAGCCTCAAATGAGTGTGGTGTGCAAGCATCGCCACTAAGGGGATAAAGGCGCGACCGGGCGTGGTGCTGGCCACCCACCCCCTCGTGTGCCGTGCCGGCCTTCATAGACGTTCGCGCCGTACGTAGCCAACCGTGCCAATCGGAACGAAGTGCGAGGCACGGGAAACTAACGAACCCCCAAAAAAGAAGTTCTCAAGAAATGAGTTTTCAATCTGGATGATGATTTAAAAGTGCATAGCTCCAGTGGCTTCCTCGTATCGGAAGGAAGAGCGTTCCAGACGGCCGCAGAAGCGCATCTGCAAGCGCGCGATGCGGTGACCGTTCGATGGCTATCCCAGGCGCTTATTATCGAGCCCCTATTCAGCGTGACGATATTACCTGACAGAGCGTGGCAAACGGAAACGCTGGGGAGACAAAGACGGCCGGGCGTAGGGTTTGTAATAGGTGTTCGACAACGCAATGCATGCTTCATAAGTAACCGTGGTGTCTGCAGCGGAAACTCGGGAGTGCTCCTTACTGCTGCGTGTGAACGTTTGTCAAGCGGAGTGCATTATTACCTAATTGGACTCGACAATTGAACGCGTGTGACCGATAGCGTGCGAATAATCAGCCGATAAATCAATGGAATACTTTACAACCAAGCGAGAACACATACGTCTCTTAACAAGGAGAGAGAGAGAGGCCCGGGGAATATGTCTTATCTGTCGTACCGCGGTCATGTCATCGAATATAATTTCACGATGGGTATGGATACAACCTTTGGAGAGAACGGATGTCTTCACCGAGTCTCAAGACTCATTTTCAGGAGGAAGCGTGGAGGCCGA